AGTTTTAGAAAAGACATGGTACAGCTTTTATTTTACAGTCTGTCCCACTAAGCTTTAGGATAAACCAGACATACACCAGGAGTGGAGCTTTGGTAAAGATATTAGTGAAAATACGCCGATCATGGTGATATCACTACCCCTCGGTAACCTGTCAGGTGCTATTTCAGTACCAGAGGCAGCTGATGGTGAGCATGATGTTCTTCCTCTGTAGTCTGGAGTGTTTTGTCTCAGTACACTTTACAAAGCTGAGGCTGGGAGGTATGGCTCAAGTGTTGTGCAAGCAGATGTCGCTGCAAGGTGTTGAGTATAGCTGGCTAGGATCACATTGAAAGACCTTCATCAGCATGTGCCTGCTGCCCTGTGCTTGGAGTCCAGCCTTTTCTAGTGGTGGGAGATGGTCAGGATAAAAAGGCTCCCTCCTGCTGTATGAAAGTGCTTTAAATCTCTCAGCATCTCAGCCTGAGCCTTTACTCTGGGCAGGCTCAGCAATGCAGCTGAAGAAGGAGGATGGAGGTGAGTAGTCCTTCAGACTGTTCAAGTGAAAGGAAGCAGGAGGGGGAAAAAAACGCAAGCCCTGCTGCTCCATCACTGCTTTCAGGCATCTTGCTGAAACGAGTTTGTTCCTCAGCTTTGTTCATGGCTCCGTGCTTGGCTCTTCAGTGTGTGAAAACCTTTACCAAAGAGTAAGAAATGTGGTAGAATGGAGAAGGTTATGGTGGAAGCAGGAGAAAGGAGGAAGCTGTAAATATGACGTGCAAGAGAAGGAGGATTGTGTATACTGAGAAACTGGGGTGTACATGTGCTGCTTCCATCCATCTCTGATGCCAGAGTCCATGTGACAATTACTGTCCGTTTTCTGGTCTTCTGACCTGATAGAAGAACATAAGACATTGAAGCTTCAGCTCTTGAACATATTAGTCCAAGAAAAATAAAAATTAATTCCAGAAGTGTAAAAAAAAAAGAGAACTAAATTTAGTTGCTGGCTTTACTTGATTTAAGCAAGAAGACTGATGCTGAAGTTGCCTGTTGAAATAGACTGGTTGCTTATCCTGCCTTTCTATTAAAAAGCTATCCTCTCTTTAAAGGACCAGACCTTTGGAGTTCTTACCTATCATCAAGAACCAGGCTGTGTCCTTGATGTGGCACAAGGCAAAAAATACAAATTTATGGTTTTTTGCCTTTTAGCTCCTTTGAACATAATCCTCAAAGAACCTTGTTGAGACTTTAAACAGGCCTTTCAGAAGAAAAGAAATTAACAGTGAAGAGAAAGGCAAACCCCAGCATGCCCTGTAGCTAAGGAAACTTTGAGGAATTCTCTTCTGAGCTGGATCCAAGTGATATTTCTACACTTCATTTGGTATATATTGATAATGTCATGCTGAGCTGTACAAAACCTTCATTTGCTCTGGTCCAGTTCAGGAAGTTGCAAGTCCATAAAGCATCATCTCTGATGATCCAGTCATTTTATCCCCTGTTGTAAAAAGGGCAGGAGAGAAAGAAAGAAGGGGGGGGGGGAAAGTCAAAGATCCAGGTTAGGGGTGATGAATATGCAAACTGGCATAGCTCTAGACATCTTTGGGTGGGAAGGGAAGGGGGAGTGTGTGTGTGTGATGGATATCCTAGTCTGGAATAGCAGATTATGGTAGTGAGGCAGAAATGATCTTTCTTTAGTGGTTTCGTATCAACTGCAGCATTAGCACAGTTATGCGGAACTGGGATTGTAACTTTGGAGAGAAGGCATGAGTCTTCATGGATGAGCTTTATGGGCTATGCTTTGAAGTTAGAAATCTGATTCGGTCTTGACAGTCTTTAACCAAATCTTTAACCTTGATGAGCAACCAAATTTATTCAATATAATGAGCAGATGCAGGCAGTCTGAGCTAGGAAAGTTGTCATCAGAAGTGATGAACCGGGAGGATTTTGTCACACTGGGTTTGCTTCCGTAGTTAGTGAAGGGCTCATACACTGGTTGTAAAGCACTCTTCTGGAATTGTGTGTCAGCAGCCCCTTGCCTCCTGGATAAAGAAGCCTATTTTAGATAAAGAAATTAAACTGCAAGAGAAATTTGCTGAGTAATCCGTTCATAGTTCCGTTGGTTTGCGGCTCTTCAAAGAAACACGTGCTGCAGGAGCTCTGTGGTTTGGTGTGAACAGAAGTCTGCTGGGTCCTCTTTTGCAGCGAGGCTGGTGCTGAAGGATATTGCTGCTTCAGTGCTTAACAGGGCCAGTAACTCATTCAGTAAGAAAACTAAACCCTTTGCTTGTATGTGAATAGCTGGGGGAAAGGAAAGAAGAGTAACTTTCCCTTTGAGTCTTTGACTTTACAGCCATATCTCTTGGAAAAGTGATAAGGATATGCAGTAGCTTTATATCTTTATCCACCCTATATTTTGATCATGCAGTGTTAGCCTTTCTCATCAGCATGTTTTGGAATTGTTTTAGTTTGCATTATATTTAGACATGCATTTTCTCTCTTGTACTCAGTGTAGGACATCTGTCACTGTTCGCTTCACTAAGGTTCCCTGCGTATAATCTGGCATTTCCTGCCCTTGGCAATTAATATCCCATAGTATAATATAAAAAGGCTGTTATTTAAGATGTGTACAGGGGAATACATGGTAAAGTGACACTACTTTATGTATTCATCTGAGGGAAAGATGAATTCTTCAAAGCATCAGTCTGTTCCCTTGCCACAGTAAATTAAAGTTATTTGCAACTGTTCAAGTATTTCCAGTTTGAGCTTCACCAGGGATCTGTGATTAGAAGTCAGCTTGGTTTTAAGATGGCTGAGGTGACTAATTGACTAAGATGGCAGTTTAAATTTGTTTCCTTCTGTCTAGTCACTGGATGTGAGATATAGGTTACTGTGTAACTGGTTTATGAGTTATTCCTGATATTAGCACCTCTTGAAGCTGTGTTTGTGCAGCTGCAGCAGATGGTCAGGATGAGAGCTGAAGGAGATGGATCAGAGTGGAAGGCATCAAAGTGGGCACAGACTGTGCTTATGCTGGGATGAGATACCAGAGTATAAATATAACTTCAGCCTAGAGTTAGAATAACTTCTGCTGAGTGTATCCAATCAGCATATACATACTATCTAGAGAACATGAAGAGATAACCTGACTTAGATTATAGATGGGTATTTTAAGGAGCTAGTAGAGATAATGCCAGAATAATATTTGCACGTTAATTCTTAATGTATTCATGTTTTGTCCAGTAATTCCATGAGAGAAAAGGTATTATTTCCATCTCACAGCTAGTGGGAGAAAGGGAAGAGGAAATTTCTTGCCTATTTTGTGCTATGAATTCCTAGTGAAATTTGATTGAGGTGCTGGAACATGCAGTGAAAGGTTCAGTCTTGTAGTAACACTGTTAAATGATGTAGTAAAAGCCAACTGGAGAAGTTAATCTCTTGTCATAATTGGTGTTTCATTGATTGGTGGGATCTGGAGCCATCCTTACTTTGGCTTGTTAGTTGCCCCAGGTTTAAGGTCCAAGGAAACACCAGCAGTGGTGTGTGGTTCAGGCAGGACAAGAGGACGAGGTCTTTCTGTTGGTCTGAAATCTGAACTGTGCCATGTGTCACAGGCATCCTAGCCCTGACTCTGAAAATATACTTCTTTTTGGTAGTATTTAATAAAGAATGAATAAGTGAAGAATATTTGAGCTCCTGTTCCTACCAGGAGAATGCTTTTCTCTGTGAGATGTGAGGCATGTTGACAGGGTTATGTCATGAAGTCTGTATTCCTCTTTCCCAATTTCACTCCATAGGATTTCAGGAGATACATGTAAGTCTCAAAGGTTTCCCCCCTGCTTTCTCTTACTCCATTGTCCTTGGGATAGCATAGGCCTGTCTTGATATGTACCTAGCAGATTTAGGCTTTAGTCTTTTCAGAAGCTGGGCAGACTCAGGGAAGGACTTGCTTTCTCCTTACTAGTAGCTGAATAATTGCTAACTGATATCTGTGTGAGATGTCACTCATGTTTGTAAAGAGCTGGCTAATATGCTGAAGTATGTTTTCGGTCAGTGGGTAGTAGGGATGATAGGATTAATGGTACTGCATCCTATCTAACACCTGTCTTTTTTTGTTTCTTTAAGGCTACATGGCTTAGAGGAATTAAAAGCAGCATTTGTAGCTATGTCCACATTAGAAGCTCTGAGTGGTTCTTGTGGAATTCCTTAAGCTTTGAATCAGGATAGGCACAGTATGTGACCCTCTGATACGTAGAATACGAAATCCTTATTTGGCAGCAGCACTGCCTAAAGTAGGCATTAGCTTTGTGCATTTAAGTATGAAAATGTGTGGTCGATGAAGAATTTTCTTCACAGATATTCCTGAAGTTGGCCAGAGTTCATGATGCTGGTAGGACCAGTGTGTTAGTCTAGGTTGTTAGGATGCACGATTACCAAACCTGTAATCCAAGTAAAAATTGGAATACCATCTAGTTTTGAAGCTGCAGATCATATAGTAATTGAGGAAGGAAACACAGTGATGTGTAATTGTGACTATAGGAGAAACGAGTATTGCAGCAACAGCTGTGGAACGAAGTATAACAAACAGAACTGTGCCGAGTTTACTTGCTTGTTTTCATTCATACCTGCAGTTTAACATTTCACTCATTTTTATGTGCTTGGCTGTAAGATCCCTCATTTGTTCAGGGCGCCGTTACAATGGGTATTGCAGTAAAGTCCCCAGTTTATCATGCATATAATGAACCGATTTTATTTTAATCGCTTTTTCAGGTTGATGTAAAATGAGAACACTTCTATTCTGCCTGCCTGAACCTGGTTAAACCTTGGTTGAACAAAAGTGGAAACTGAGTTGCTTACGTAATTTTTACAGTATTCAAAGGGGATAGGCTTCCAGCCATTCTGGCTGACATATTTTACAGCTTCAGTTGTTCTTTGGTTTGTCACCTCCTGTAGCTGTATATTAAAGTGTGTTCATTGCAGTACTCTATGAGGAAAGAGTTTAATTGTTTGCTTTTCTCTTGTTTCAGAACAGAGAGCTCCAGATTATGAGAAAGTTGGATCATTGTAACATTGTCCGATTGCGTTATTTCTTCTACTCTAGTGGAGAGAAGGTAAGAATGCAAAACAAGGCAATGCCTCCTGGTAACCTTCTGGGGTATAACTGAACTGTTTGTATTTCTAGAGACAGCAGTGTAAAGATAGGAAACATGATAACATGGAGAAAATGCCACAGTGGTGCCCAGCAGATCATGTTGGAGCACATCTTTTTCAGTATGGAAGCGTGTGGTCCATGAGGAATAGTGTTATTAGTACAATACATCAACAGTGCAACAGATTTGCATACACACAGTCTCCTTTTTAACTTATTGGAGCACAGCCATGCTTCATTTGCGTGTTCTAGAGCTACCTTTTCACAAGTGCAGATGTGTTTTCTAGGATGGGCTAGATGACCTTGTGAACTGACTCTGGTATTTTTATATGTAGTTATAAACATTTATAGAAATTCTGTAATTTCTATAAGTTTTATAATTTCTCAGTTTTTAAAGTAGATTACATGCTTCGTTCTCTTCAGATGCTGGTGAACATGCACAATGCTGGAAAGAGCTGTATATAAGAGCTAATAGCTACTAAAGGGCTATTAACTGCTGCGACCACCAGCAGAATGGGAGCAGCAACCCACCCACTTCATGGTCTTTGGGGGTAGGCAAGTTGTTGGTGGCAGGTTGCTGAAGTCTTGTGCAGTGCACAAGAGGGATAATTGGAAGAGCTCTTTTGTTACCTCTCAGAGAGGTGCGTGGGGAGACCTGGCCCTGCACTTTGCCTGCTTCGCCTATGGAAAGCTTGAAACCTCCTATGTGGTTTTGGAAGGAGAAATGAGATTTAATGTTTTTATGCTTGCTTTCTTTGGGTCAGCCCTTGCCTGGTGATAGCATGCATTCACAGTGTGATATGGCTCTTGTAAGTTTTTTGGTAGTTAACTGTCTTTTTTGTGAACTATATTGCGCTCATTTAGCATGTAACCACAAATTCCTCTAGCAGCTTGAGTACAAGAAGGGAAATAGAGTCAAGGATGGTTTGGGTTCAGCTTGTAATTTGACTAGGATGAAGTGGAATTTAATGAAACAAACAGAAGACAACTGCCTTATCTAATGGCTTTCAGAATCCTCCTGCAGACAGTGGAAGTGTTAAAACTTCTCAGGACACTGAATCGGGATCCTTTGTGTAACAGTAACTTGAGTAAAACTCTTTCGGGAATCTTTAACTTGATGTTGAGCTTGAGACTGGATTTTCTACTTTGCTGTTTCAGCTCCACGTGGCTGATTCTTGGCAGCACTAAGTTTTGTTTTTAAAACTGCAGTGTCTTATCCATGAGCAGCAAATGTTAATGCTCCAGTGGAAAGTTTTCTTCCATATTACTTTCACCTCGTCTCTCATCGTGCCTCTGCTCTGTGCCTTTGAGATTTCCACTGTTGCCTTCTTGCAAAATCGGACAAATGTGAACCAGTCCCTAGGGCAGAGGTGCACGCATCAGCACTGTAATGTTGGAGTTCCGGTTGCAAGGTCTCTTTGCAGTTCAATCCAAAATAAGTAATAGGCTTGCAAGAATTTCCATGAGACTTCATAATGAAGCTGGCTCTTAGGGCAGTGGACGAAAGGGAGAAAAGTGTAAGGGAACCAGGAAGGACATGTAGGAAGCAATTGTAGATTTAGATGCTGGGTACCCAGAGCTTTATATAAACTGATTTTTGAAGCTAAGTCCAATGGGAAGAGTAGTGTAAAAATCCAAATACTGTGTGGTAGCAGAGTGATGAGTGGGGCTTGCAATTGTTGCCTGTTTTTGTGGAGAACTTAACAGTCCACTGCCATTTAGGCTCTGTTTCTGCTAATTAAGTCTAGCAGTAATGACAGGTAACTGTTATACTCCTGATCCCTTTAACGAAATAGTTCATCGGTGAACTTAATTTTGATACCAATGTGGATGAAGCATTCTCTTGCATAAAGTTTTTCATGGTTCTGTTATGACTCCGCCTGTTTGTTCCAGCTGGAGTGTTCCTTGGACTTCCCCTGTGTTTCCCAGTGCTTGACACCGGCGTCTCTAAGCCCAGAGGCATGTCTTTCTTTGGCTCTTTCGTAGCCAATACCCGAGAAGCTTAAATCTGTCTTGATTTTGGAGGTACTTCCAAGGATTTCTCCAAATCCAGTAGGACTGGCACTCTTTGAATGCTATGTGCCTAGCAGCTACTTCAGTTTAATTGCTAGGCATTTTTTTAAGCACTGAGCAACCTTAAAACTAGCTTTATTCTAGCAAAACAGTGGGTTTAATTCATGATTAGAAAACCTGACACAACAGAAAATAGCATCAAATAGAAAAAGAATTTGAGATAGCACTTGTTAGTAAGACTATTCCTTAGCTGCATCAGTTAAAGCTAGTTTATAGAGATTTGGAGCTCTCTGATAGCTTTTCCTTGGGGCTATCTGTGGAACTGGCTGAAGCGTTTGAGCTCCTCCTTTTCTTTTTCCCTGCAATGAACTCTCCTTTTTATGTCTCCTGCTCACTTAAACTTCCTTCCTGATTTTACCAAAAGCAATCCAGCCTCAGCATGGAAGTCTTGTATCAAACATGGCTTTGACTGATTTGTTCTCCTTTGTTTTCTGTGAATGGGTGGCTCCCTCTTCTATGAACATCTTTGAATTTGCATTGCCTTTATATAGGTATGCCCTACATGAGGTGGGTGTGTGCATGTCTGTATATATATGCACGTACATGCACACACATACGTCTTTATACGTGTGTGTATATATAAAAACATTATTCTGAGTACTGACTACATATCAATCATGTTTGACTAATGATTTCTACTTTAAGAGAGCTCAAAGAGAGCATGTAATGTATATTAATATAACAGTTGGCAGGCATGGCATTTGGGTTGCTTCTTTCTATAAACTGATTGCTCCCTGGTTCTTTCCTTGTTCTAAGCTTACAGACCTTTGTCAGACCTACCTGTTGGATAACCCAGTTCTTTCAAAAGACTTTTCTTTAATGAGTTTTTTTCTGAGGCTGTATGAGATATCTGATGGCAGGGCAGTGACTTTTGTAGCTGTAGTATGCTTCTCAGTAGTCCAGAACATGTAATTATAACTGGTGGAATGAACCAGAGGGTAAAGAAGGACAGCCAGATAATGGGCTGAGTTTCATATGGAGGATTCTCTTGGTGGGAACAGTCACAAGTCTTTTCCATGCTGTATTTCTGTGATTTGTGGTTTTCCTGGTAATCCTTAGAGAAAGCAATCAAGGTTATAGGGCTCGCCAACTCTGCTGCGTTGCGTAGTTTTGGTATTGTCTTGAGTAAGATGCTTGGTTTGCCTGTCAGCTTGCCACTGGGAGGGAAATCAGGCCTTATTAGGAAGGCATGCATTTCTGGTTTGATTTTTGCTACTTTTCCTTTATTTCAGGGACTGCCTTGCATTTAGCATGATGTATCAGTGTAAATGTTGAGTTACTGCAGCAGGGGGAGATGGTCTTGCTGCCCATCTTTTTTTAGCCTAATTCTGCTGAGGACTTTTTTCATGCTCCAAGGGAGGGTAGACGTGGACATACCCAATAACTCCCCTAGCTCATTTGTTGAAAGTATTCCCTGATGTTTTATAGCATGACCTAAGTTCTTACATCAGTGGCTGCTGAGTAAAATTATTCAGCTGTGTAAAACCTGAAATGAGAACCTATTCCCCATTTTTCTTCCACCTCTATTTCTGGTTTAGTTCTTTCTTTGTGATATTTCATAGCTGTCAGATTTTCTTTTGTGAATGCTTTTGAGTGTTTAATAGTCTGATCAATTCATATCCATGCTGAAAAGAGGCAAAGAAGCACCGGAGAGATTTGTTCCTACATCACATCATAAAAAAGTAAAGTAAATACAGTTTAAATACAGTTTAAATACATGCATCTCTGATTATGTAACTCTCTCTCCCCCTCCCCCTTTAAGGTAGCTTGGGATTCAGAGGACTCAAAGCAAGCATATATGGAAACACAGATCACAGATAGGCAATACACTGACTCTTTTGGAGGCTGAGCTAGCCCTTCTGCGTACCCTAATTGATTTCTAGTCTTATTTAGCTTCAGCTGTAAGGGCATGCAGCCAAAAGTCCATGCAGACTCAGGATGGAAATTTACTCCAATAGACTTAGACTGAGGTTTAAAATAAACGTGCAGGAGATATGTGCAGAGCTGCATGTACAAGCTGCTGTGCATGCATTTTGACAGTAGTGTATTAAACTGCAACAAAGACATTTGGGAGAATCATGGGTAGGATTGAAAAGAGAGCAACTACTTGATTTGCAAGTTTGGGCTTTGCTTGAATAGTTGTTTCTCCAGGTTCGTATCCCTGTTAGGAAGAGATAGATCGCTACCCTTTCTGCGGGAGTGCTCAGATGAGTCCTCTCACAAGGACCATCTATTGTGCACCCTGTTACTTGTATTTGTAGTTGAGTAATTTGGTTTCATCATTGAAAGAAATGAAGAAACAGAACACGAAGTTCAATCAGCAGAGCCTTGAGCCCAGTTTTAAGTTGCCAGAGCCTGTGTGAATGATTTGCACCAGTCTAGTGACGTGCTGAAGGGTTAGCACTAGGAATGAATTTAGTCGCTATGCTCCCTTCAGTCCTTGGCAGAACTGCTGTGCTGTTGACAAAGGAGCAATTAATGCCAATTATGAGGAGTTTTGTGATGTTGGTATCTCTGTAGTCCTTGCCTGTGGCCTGCCAAGCTCATTTCAGGAAGGGCAGTAGTCATTAGATAATGACTATCAGTTACTGCTGTTCAGGCTTGCAACATGCTGGGAATTTTCTTAGTTGTAGTTATGAGCAGTCTCTGGTTCTTGAGTAGGTTGTGTTAATAGAAATAGCAGTTTTGTCTGCTTGTGATAGGGCTAAGCACCAGTAGCTAGATTCTCAGTGTGATGGATGTGTGCAGTGGAAATGGGAAGCTCCATGGTTTTGCTCTAGTCCAGTACATCGGGTTAGTCACTCTTAAGTCATTCCACTGGCAGCTCTAGCCACTGCTCTCATCTACCTGTGTTGGGTGGCCATTAGGAAAGTAGCTCATATTGCTCGT